CATCCTTCATGAAGAGTGTGCTGGGATGTGTTCAGGGCCCCACCTGTGAGTCAGGAGAGTTCCATCCTGGAGTCAGTGGAGGCCAGTGCAGCAGGGAGCTGCGGGGTTTGTGAACCATATTGAGAGGATTGGCATGTTTTGCCGTTGTCTGGAGGAACCAGACAGTGGCCCTAAAGATTGAGACCGGAGCAGCGTGAGTGTTTTGAAGCTGAGGAAAGCTACAGAGCCATAACAAGGACTGTCTTATGTTGCTGTTTCAAGCTATTTTGTGTTTGCCCTTTTAAATAAACTGCATCTGACTTGATTTACCTGGACTACAGTGGAGTGTCCTTGTTACAATATATACGGGGTTCATTTTATAGACGTTCTGCCCAGCGTATAGCAGAGTAGATGCCGTTTGCATGGCACTAGCGTCCCTAGATAACGCTGACCAGTATAGGAATTTCTATATTCTTTAGCCAGGCAGAATTTCTTCTGATAATGGGTCTAGTAAGTGTGCCTGCAGTCTTCATGTTCTTGCAGTTATAGTCAAAGCAAAATGGGGGAAAAAACACATATGTAGTTCATATTTGCAATAAATGCATGCTTCCCCTTTAAAGATCCTGTAAGTGCAGAAAATAACCTGTTGTTCTGTTGTGAGCTGACAACGTACAGCATTTTTGTGGACTGTGTGGTGTCAGCCCCCCTGCCCAGTGTCCTTTGCTAAACTACTCAGCCACTCCCAGTCTCAGATCTCTAAAGAATAAAGGCTAATCGTTATGTAGTTCAAGAAAACAACTAACATAGCTAAACAGGCTCCAGGGGTGTTACCTCTCCTCGGGGCCAACGGGCACGGTGCAGGACACGGGGTCTCCTCCAGCCTGGTAGAACTCTTGGCGCCAGGGGTTGCAGGTGCGCATGCACGAAATGCGGAGCGGACGCGCACGGTACACAGGCTGCGCGCACCTGCCCGGGGGCGTGCGCGTAGCGCGCCTGCGCCCATTAGGACTATCAAGTGTGGGCCTTGCTGGGGGAGGTTCCCAGGACGCACCTCCCATCCCTCTCGCCTGCCATTGGTCCCCGGGGAGGGAAGCCTCCTGGTTGCCCCGGTAACTAGGGGGTAGTCTTACATCCCCATGCTATAAAATCCTAGTCAGAGCCCTGGCATGTTGCTGAGTTATTCCACCCTATGGTGTGATCGCCTAGCCTCTCTATCTGTGAATCTTGCTGTTGCTCCCTGATCCCTCATCTGGACTTCCTGTTTGCTGACCCCTTGGACTGTTTATCGCTTCTGAACCTCTGCTGCCCGCCTCGATCCAGATTGGGCCTTGACTACCCCCTTGGATTGCCCTTTTTGTACCTTGCTCTTGGATTTTCAGGCCACTTCCTGCCAGTGGGTTCCTCTCCACGCTGCCAGCCCATAAGCACGTCTGACATTAACATAACATAGCAAGTGTTCACAGGGCAGTTCTGAATTTCTGACAAGATCTGAACAGCTTCATTTTGCACTGGAACAGACACAACAAAATGATTCCAATGGTAAAATGAACAGGCCTAAAGGGAACAAATAAGAGGCGTTTGTATTTGGCGTTTACATACAATTTTATTTAGGATTTCCATCTACTTCTCAAATCATCTCCGCAGACTGTATCACTGTCAGTTTACATCTCAGAGACCCATCACAATAAGAGTCTGAATTCTGGGTAATGAGCAGGCACAGCAGGACACACAGCTTTGCAGGCTAGATTGGGATGAAGTCATGCAGCCAGGGGCAGGATTACAGGCTGTGTTGCTCTGATGGCTGGTGGTAGGCTTAGAGCTTGTACAGTCACTTTTCACAGACCATTGACGGATATCAAAATCATAGTTTAATTTAGGAAGAGAATGACATCTACCTCTGCAATTATTGATGTGATGGAGCATCTCTGTGGAAGGAAAACGTTATATGCACAGTTATAAGCACATGAAATATTTAATATTATGAGCACATTGTGATTATTGCAAAAATAAGTCATGCTAGGTGTAATTTACTGGAAAACTCAAGTCCAAGTAAAAAACATTTCATTTGTTCCCATGTCTTGTTCTGCTCACATTTATGAACTTTCTTTAGGATTATCTAGTACTGTGTACGCTGCTGGTGTTTTATGAATACCGTATGGTAAACTATCCACTGCATATAAGGATTCACTTTGGAGTTAAATGACTGTATAAATGTAGAAAGATGAAGGCTGAGCATATACTGTACATAGAGGCTACAGAAATCTTCTTTGCAAGCTATGGCTCGGGATGACATTTCCCACCCCTACTCTCAAGCTGGGAGATGGGGACGTGGACTCTAGAGCATACTATTTACTACTGGGCATACTGTGGGCAACTATATGGCAGATGAGGTTTAATGTTGGATATTGTAAAGTAATGCATTTTGGGATTAGAAACAGGCAAGCAGAATGCACATTAATGGGAACTCCACTAGGGAAGTCAGAAATGGAAAAATATTTGGGGGTCTTTTTCCAGAAATGGAAAAAGACCCCCAAGCTGCGGCAAACAAAGTGAGCAGAGTACTGTCATGCATTAAAAAGGGAATGTACTGTAGAGACAAAGCAATGATTTTGCCACTTTATAGATCACTGGTTCGGCCTCATCTGGAGTATTCGGTTCCGTTTTGGTCCCCGATCTACAGAAAGGATGTCTTGGAGCTGGAAAGAGTACAAAGAAGGGCAACTAAACTAATTAAGGGTACAGAGGACCAAAGCTATGAGGCAAGGTTGCTAAATTTAAACTTGTTCATGCTGGAAGTGAGGCGATTAAGAGGGGGTCATGATTTTAATGTACACAATCTTTAGTGGAGATGGCAACATCAGCAATAAACTTTTTACTGTAAAAAAAAAAAGACTAGAGGCCACCACCTAAAACTGGTGGAGAAGGATTCAACCAAAAAGGGCATAGGAGCTTCTTTTCAGTCAGTTTTCTTTTTCAGAGTGGTTACATTTTGGAACTCTCTTCCACAAACAGTGGTATCAGCAGAGAGTATTGAATCATTCAAAAATCATTAAGATACCTTCTTCAGAGACCGTAACATACAGGAGTACAGGTACTTTTAAATACTAGACCACACAGGGACTCATATACACACGTACACACAAACACACAGACACACAAAGGTTGAACTTGATGGACCTTTGCCTTTATTCAACCTCACATACTATGTAGCTATGTATTTACTGACAGTTCTTAGTTCCAGCGATTGCCTCATTGTCTCCCAGCTCAAGAGTTTACAGTTTTGATTTAGTCTACAAAGCACCCCAAGAGTCTTGAATCTGCTGCCTCCTGTATTCAGTGGCAACACCCTCCCCAGTGCTCCCCTGACCAATATAAAGGCGCACATTGTGGGGTTGTCTGGCACAGCATTGATAATACAACTGGACTTTCCAGGGTGCTTTTGAGACTAAAATATAGCATGTGCTTTTTTAGGCTCTCTTGTCGCATGGATAACGTTATCCAGGTGGCTGGGGTACTTTAAGCCTTTAAATGATGTAATTTCCCTGACATTTGTTATTGGATAAGAGCTCAGCGCATGTCATTAGACTTTGTTTCCTGCGACATGTAATAGGTGTAGGTCTACTCTGCACATGGATTACTATTATAAATATGAAACAATGTCTGTCCCCATAGATCATTATGGATCACATTTCTCCGTAAAGCCCTCATGATCATGGACATATTTTTTACCTTAAAGACAAATGTGCATACGAGCTGTAAGTGCACAGAGAGAAGTGTCAGGATGAATTAGGCATCAAATGCTTCCCTAGTAATTACATGGCTTATGTAGCATTATGACACTTAAGTAATTTCCCAGGCTCTGATAGACGGTAACCGCAGGCTGTGTACTTGCTGCTATAAGAACAGCCGCTAAAACAGTTAAATGTATTCAGCAGTCCTAGATTTCATAGTTTAAAAAGTTACTCACATTTTTGCATTGTATATGTGTGTATATACTGTATTTGAAATCACTACTGTACAGAAAGTAAGATATTTTTCACATTTCTGCACAGCCATGTTAGGAAGCCAAAGGAAGTAGCAAAAAGACATAGATATGTTCATTCATCCAAGCATATTTTGTTTTTAAGGTAAAGTTCGGCTGTAACCTGAACTATTCATTGAAACTAACTACGAAAACTAATGAAGAAAGTGTATTGCAGACACCTGAAATCTGTGGATTGCTGCTCTAGTGCTTCCAGGAGCTCTGAAATCCCGCCAATATTCAAATCTTGACTTAGGTGGCCCCTTAGCTGTGCCCTTTTTTGCTTCCTGCAATCACAATTGGTCAGTGGGGCTTCCCTTCACTTTAAGTGCAGCCAGTGAGGTGCAAGAGAGATTAGGCTGGACCATGAAAATCTCTGCTGAAGTGGTCATTTGCATATTGAAGATTTTGGCTCTGGTTAGGTGAAATATGGTTTTACCTTTAACTCCCCTGGACCTGTAGTATAATAAACATGACCAAATATTAAAGTGGCATTAAACTTAGGAATTAAACCTTAAAAATGTATTCAGTACCTTAACTATTAACAAGAATGTATCTTATTTGTGTATCACTCATCTGTAGACCCTCATATCTTCTTTGAATTGGCGCTGACACTGTCCTTCCATCTGGAGGCTGGCTACGTTTGATCCCCAAGGTCCCTGTGTGTGTTGTAAGGTGGCCACCTCTCCAAGCTTGCTCCCGTCATGGACTACAATCTCAATACAAATGAGAAGACTAAATGTGAGATTGTAGTCCATCACGGGAGCGAGCTTGGAGCGGTCTCATGCACTCCCCTCCCAGACACTGCAGCTCACAGTGGAAAGGTTTCAGCTGCAGTGCTTCCAATCCAGAAAGCAGTGGTGGTGGACTAGGTCTGACAAGTGCTGACTGGCAAGATCAGACTTGTGAATCAGCAGCGACATGCACGCGTTGTCATTGTAATTGTCATTCAGTGTAGTGTACAATTATGTTTTCTACATACACCATGTTTGCCTTTCAGGTATAATACTTTGCCAAGCAGAAGGACGTTAAAGCACTCAAGATTAGTGAGTAAAAAGGACGACGTCCACGTCTGTGTCATGTGTTTGCGGGCGATCATGAATTACCAGGTATGTTACTTTGCATCATTCTGCAATGAAGACATACAAAGCAGTGGCATAAAAAAGTAGATTTTTCTGTTGTTGGTAGCGTAACAATATGCTTGACCCCCAGCTAAATCTCCTCATTGGTCTGGGACTCCAGTTGGTATATATGCGTCTTATTCTCCACAAGACTGTGACACATGAGCTCGGATTTTTACTTTAGCTGCCATTGTCTTTGGTTTGAGCGCTATATATATTTGTATGGAGAATCCACCACCGGGGAAGACCAGAGATATGTTGAACCATATGCCCTCTAGTGGATTTTACATAAGAATATATAAAGTATACACGGTATATATAAAAGATCATGGCTTATGACACCCATTCTGGGTCTGAGCCAAGAGATTTCCCGTCACAATCCTGTATTGCATCAAAGAGAAAAATGAGGGCACACCAATCCAGAAAAATTGTTAGTAGAGTTTTCATTAAAAGTAGCTACTTACAACTGATAAAAACATCTTTAGCATTACACTTCAGTATTATAACCTTAGAATAACACTTGAACATTCCTTTACAAGCTCCTGCACCTCTCTATTGGTTCATAGCTGTGTTGGTCGGCCTTATTGACCAATAGGGAGATCCAGAGGAAGAGGCGGGCCCTCTTCAGGATCTGAAGTTACTGTGTAAAGTATAGAGCATCCAGGGTTTTGGGGCTAGGGAAAACTTTGACAGTTGAACGTATGTAAAGTAATATGTAAAGTAGTGTTATTCTCGCAGGTGCTCTGTAAGTAAAAAGATTAAACACAATGGTGTAGAAGCAGTTTATGGCTCAGATTTGTAAATTGTTATGCCTGTTTATAGTAAGTTTTTGTTTTTTATTCTGCAGTATGGTTTCAACATGGTCATGTCCCATCCACATGCTGTCAATGAGATTGCACTAAGTCTGAACAATAAGAACCCCAGGTATGCATGTCTTTAACCCTTTCATGCCTAGATATCCAAATTTAACATGTGCCAGTAACTTGACAATAATTCTATTACTTATTATATACTGTGTATATATATGTATACTATATAGATATATACATATATATAGATCTATATATATACACATATGTACATATGTGTATATATATATAGATCTATATATATATACAGTATATACAGTATATATACATATATATACTTTTTTTAATAGTGTAACTGTACCTGACAATTGCACTGTGAAGTAGATAGCATTGCAGATCCCACTGCAGTCTGAAGGTGGTAGTGTACGTCTGCAGGCTTATTGCTTATTTTGTCAATGAAGCCTCCAGCCTGCATGTCACCACTATGTCATTCCTAAAAAGAAGGCACAAAAATACATACAGAAACTGACTGATTAGAGTTCAGAATTTACTTTTGGTATTTCACAGACATGTTAATTTACTTTATACAGTTTTCTGTATTACCAAACATTTATATCTTACAGCAGTAAAATCAGATGGTATATCAAGAACATTTGAGGGAATATGTGTGGGCTAATGGTATAAAATAATCACCTACAATAGTAAAACACATATTGTGTTCTATTCAGATATTGTTATTTATGTTTTTACAATGTCACCCTGTTGAAGGGTGTGAAGCTGAGCTTTTAGAGGCATGTTTATGATAATAATCTTCCATGATGGAATAGACAATATCTTATAGTGCAGTTGATTACATTTACTCAACGTCTGTTTCTTCCTTTTCTTTTAAACAGAGCGTATTACAGTAAAAACAAAACCTTTGGGGTTTTGTAGAGATCAATTTAACCAATGTTTATGTACTGGGTAACAACGTGACTAGGGAATCATTTTTCCCGTGGCTGCAATTCACAGTAAATGTGTGGCCCTGACACATTAGAAAGTGTTATGTTTAATCTGCAGTCTGGCGGCGGCCATGTTGTACGGCAACAGTTTCCTGAGCAATTCTCTTTTATTACACCCTGGTCAATAATGACCACAATATCCTCAGGATTTTTCTGAAGTCACAGCTTGTTTTGTGTCTGAGGAAGGGCCGGGTCTGACGTCCCTGCTGTGATTTCGCCTCACCCCTAGATGTCTGCTTCTTAAATTCTCCATCTGGCAAAATTAGGTCAGATTGTTGGAAAAGATGTCTGCAAAACAGGAGATGGTTTAACCTAGTTTCATTTTATTTCAGTTTCTGAAGGCATTTTTTATGCATTGGAAAAAATATTGGTTTTCCTACCTGAGAGTTTATATAAAAACCAACCTAATTTTGTGCATCATGGAAGGCCGGTAGCTTCTAAAATTTGTTACATGCAACCATTACTGGAAGGTTCGGGGTCTGGTCAGGGACTGAATCAGTAAATTAACACTCTTAAGGGATTGCAGATTGCTATAGACATGTACAGTTGTCTCAGCCTAGCATAAGTGTTTAAAGTGAACCTCTCAGTTACATTATACTTGATGTCTGCATGAATTCCTGGCCTGTCAGAGCAACCAAAACTGGATAAAGAGTTTAACTATTACTAACTCTGTGCAAAAAATAAAAAAAAGTCTTTAGATACAATTTAAGGCAACCCTGTCAGTCACTTAAAAATCCAGCTGAAAGCCCCCTATTAAAGAAAGACTATAATAGTCTCTTCTCTGATAGCCCTTGTATATCGCCCAGTTTGACACTTCCAGGTGTATTGAATGCCTGCGTCTCCCTGCTACACACTGTGGTTTCTTCCTCCAGCCCCTACTTTGCTATAGAACTCAGCAGTGACATAGGGTTTTCGAAAGATAGAACCACAGAGTGCAGCAGGGGACACAGGCATTCAACACTCTGAATTGGTGCTGACACTGTCCTTCCTTCTGGAGGGGGGCTACGTTTGTTCCCCATGGTCCCTGTGTGTTGTAAAGTAGTCACCGCTCCAAGCTCGCTCCCGTGATGGACTACAATCTCATCTGTAGTTTACTCATTTGTATTGGGATTGTAGTTTAGTGTCATTTTAATCCTGTCTGTACTGTGCTGGCAGATCTCATTATCAGTTGGAAACTAGGTTTCAACACTCTCTGTTCTAACAAAGGGTTAATGGTCTCAATGATTGTGTGCACATTGCATAATAATAAGAGGAAACAGAATCTGTCCCCACTTTATCCCTCCACTTTCACTTTTTAATTGATCAGAGTAGTTTGCAATCTGCCCACATTCCCTCTCCAATAAAAATCTAAAAGGTACAAAAATCTTTTTTTTAAATGATTTTTAGGTATGCTGTGTGAATGGGAACACATAACAAAGTTATAGTGGGGTTTGCTCAAATTTGACTGCACAAGTGGAAATGCACTTTAAGTAAAGAAGCATGGCGGCATCCACTGCCCTTCTTCTTTAACTTCTCTTTCCCCTCCCACATCTTCTTTATCCCTCTCCTTTTCTCTCTTTTCTCTCTGTTTGTCTGTTGCAACATGTTGTTTTTGCAGCGCCTTGGCCATATATTCTAAGAGTTACTCCACTGCCAATTCTTTGTTCTATGTCTTGGAGTGAACCCACCACCGGGTCAACGGAGGTCTTTAGTGGCGGTGGTGTTATGACCTACTCGGTGGTGGGGACCTGTGCACACCTCACACAGTGGTTTTACTATGAGCTTACAACATGGATGGTTTACATATTGTATGGCAGAAGATATATCAGATATTTTGGAGACCAATGTATGCATGTTGTGTATGCTTTATGTCTTTCTGTTATTTGTATATCTTGAAACTTTGTTTCTGTGAAACCCTTAATAAAAACTATTTCTGTAAAAAAAAAGTAAAGAAGCATGGACAAGGATGGCAGCCACGTAGCTTGCTTCTACAACAAAGTTATCAATGTCATCTGCAATATTTCTGCCCTTACAGTGCAACTTAGTCCTGACACACCCACTCGGATTACTCTTTCAATAAAATCGCTCCACACATCCAGCCTTTGTACACTGTTTGCATAAGATAAACCCATAACCTGCATATGGAGACTCATTGCCTGATTCCCTTAAGGGGATATAAAAATTCAGTGGAATTCAATTCTTTTAAATGTCACCTCTGCAGCACGCAATCCAGTTCCACCCCCGCTTATCACATTGTTCCCATTGATTTGTGAAATATCTTTTTTTTTTTTTTTT